AAGTTGCAATGGTAATGTTAMCTTGTTTAAAAACAAAGAAATGTTATTAGTCGACAATAAGTTGATTTACAATTTATTTTGCATCTTTTTCATCACTTAGTACTTAGAAAACTCTTTCATTAGTGACACTGGTTGAATATAATATAGTTTAAATCCTTTTAGTTGAAGATGCAACATTTTTTCATGACCAACTGCGAACAAAAATCAAAGATAATTTTTTGCTAAAAATGTTTTATAAAAATTTGTTATGAAAATATATTTTTTAGATAAGAAAAAAACAAGCTTTTTAAAAATGACATAGCCATTGCCATTAAAAAAATACAAGTTTATTTTATGACGGCTAAACAAACAACTGAAAAAAATTGTTAACTACATTATTAAATTCTACGTAAAAAAGTGCCTATATAATGTCTTTATTTCAAATCTGTGTATTCTATAATAACGAAGATATGAATTTTTTAAGATTTCGCTAAAATGTCAATTTTTGTCTATAAGTCGAAAACAAAAGACGATAGCGGGATGCGGTTTTAACCAATATTATTTTCTCAAAAAATGACCCTCAGAATGTATTACTCGTTTTTGGCTAAACCTCTTAGTTTCGGAAATTCCCTATTCGGACATCCAAAATGCAGCACCCTGTACATACGTTTTTAGAAATACGGACCTTGGCGGTAAATAAGATAAACAATTTACTCCCTGTGAGATCACGCCAAAATTGTTCAGTAAGTTGACGGCAAAATCTACTTAATCCCAACAGTTTTAAAAGTAGCAGTAAGTACCTTTTGTTAATTTTTTGCGATGATTAATTAAACCAAATAGCAAAAATTTCGTATTTGAATAATTTCATAACGGTAAGGTCGCCAACATTATAAGACTAAATTTCCCTCTTTTTAGTATAATTTTGATAGCACTGTTTTTGTTCAGTACAATGTAGAAAAAAAATACAGGGTGATTCACGAGGAATAATGAGCCTGACCAAATTCTCGATGCAACCACCATTACACTTTCACAAGTTGCTTTGCGACACTTTTAAAAAAATTATAATTTGAATCCATGATGCCTATTATTATCATCCATCATCGTCATTGTCATTTTTGACAAACGTAACAAATTTATTATAAAATGAGCAAAATGTGAACTTATTCCAATGATGAGAAGACTTACGGAGAATGTTTGATGTCCAATGATATCCAATGATATCTTCTGACACGATCAGGTTAGTTTTAAATTAATGTTAAATTATCAAAGAGAAGGGTACCACTGGATGAAGCTTGAATGGGTGCCTTCCGTAAATACTTCTGTTTTTCATTATTTTAATGTCAAAACTGATAAATTGTAAGTGTGCTCGCTATGATTTCATATTTATTGCAAAACAATTTTCAAATCTACCTGACCTATGAAAATGTAATGTTGGTTGCATCGAGAATTTGGTCAGGCTCATTATTCCCCGTGAATATAAAATATTGTTACCTAAACAAGGGTCTGACGGCCCACGCGAAAGGCATCCGGTAATTCCCCAGTCTTTGACAACACGTCGCGATACTCTTGTAAGCCTTCAAACTAATTTTGGGATCCTTATTCGCCTTGACGTATGCTTCGGAACTCTGACAGATCCCCCCTTGAAGCACTTTTTCAATCCTTACCACCAAAAAAATATCCGGATGCGGATTCGTGATACTCATTAACGCTTGTCGCGGAAAAAACAACCACTCCTGCGACAACCCTTGCGGTAACTCCAATTTAACGTCCGTTTCATTGCCACTAAACATTGTTTTTCTAATGCACGCACTATTCACGTCGAAATGGAAATTCTCCGTCAATTTTCTCGAATTTTTGGCATCAAATAGGCACAAAGTGGTGTGGTATGGCTCCACTTGGCACAAATTGTCTTTTTCATCAACGGCTTGTAAACGAAATTTGATGCTCTCGCATTTGAGGAAGACTCGATGGCCGAACACTTCTTTGAACGGTTCCACTTGGCCCTGACTAGAATTGGGAGACTTTAAGTTGGCGGCGAGCTGGGGGTAGAGAGGGAAGAGCTTATTGCGGTTCTCTTTACGCGAGAATGCGATGCTAACGTCGGTCTCGCGGGCGTATTTGATCAGTTGGGGGTTCATGCTCTGTTCCAGGCCTTTGAGGGTGCCGTAGGGCTGCACTTGGGGCGAAGCTGGGGGCGTACTGCGATCTAAATATAAACAAAAATCATTGAAAACCAATCACTTTGTACCATCGCAGTCCAAAAATACTACCACAGTAACATTTTAGCGCTCAAAAACTGTTACAATACAGGGTGCGCCAAAACTCGCGCCCCAGAGAAAAATTTCAAGAACATGGAAGAAATGTTAAAAAATTCTACCTATAAAAATTTCGAAGTTATGAGAGTTTAAATTTTGCACTTTGAGTCTTTTTATTTCTGTTGGAAAATTAATTTTCCAATTTTTTACTAAAGGCTATTAGAAGAGAAAACAAGGAAGCTATATCCTAAATTGTAACTCTGTTTAATGTTATTTGTGGCTTTTATTGGCAAAATTTTTGTATCTTTACTAAATAACTATAAAAAAAACATATACAAGACCATCAGTATCATTAAATAGACTTAAAAAAGTGTCAAATGTCAACCCGTAATAAACAATTTAAAGTAGATTTTACTATTCTAGGGTTATAATTTCTATAATTTCTGAGAAAACTTCAAAAAAGCTTTAAACCGAAACTAAAACATATTAAAAAAAAAAACATTTTCATAGCAGTTCACAAATTTTATCTTTTTTTTTTTTATTTTGTAAATTGCGGCAAAACTACACCTCTGACGTATAATATTTTGACGTAATCTTATGTAAAATGTCCCGAGGAATCGATTGGTGTCGAGAAAACTGCAAAATTCGCAATAATTTACAACTTATAGACGAATGCATATTTTCAATATTTTTGATTTTAGCAGCAATTTTCTCGGTAACTATGTATAGTAGGACAATGATCTTTTTTAATACGATAGAAAATTAAATTTGCTTTCTAACGGTACCAAACAAAAAATCCTCGCGTCAATAATTCCGGAGTTATTAGCAATAAACGCTCCGGGTACATACAAAAATTTCGTCAAAAATCGAAAAAATTTAAAACCATCAAATTGAACCATATAACATTTTTTCCATTTCTACAGATCCTAATGATTCAAAAAAGTTTATAAAACAATATTGAGTCAAGTTTGAAAACAAGAACTATTTATATAGAGCGTTTCAAAATGATTGACATCTCGGTAAATTATGTAAATTCACATTTAAGGTGGTAACATTTGTACTTTGACAGTTCTATGTTGTTCATTTTTGTACGATTGTACTGAATTTGAAGATACGTCAATTTCACAATTTGTGACATTTGTCGTTTTTGTGCTTTTTCTCTCCTATTTCTTTTTTGTTCTTCGTTTTTTTCCACATTCATTTTGGACAATGGTTATGGTATTTTTCCAGACAGAATTCAACGGAAATGTCATTTTTATGACGTATCGCGATCTAAAGAATGCATTAGTAACTTTTTTGGAACTAAAAATTTAGCGAGATGTCGATTATTATGAAACGTTCTAAATAAATATTTTTGCTGTTTGTGTGCTTTTAATTTAGGAAATGTCCCATGTATACATACAAAAAAGTGTGTAAAGTAAAATTTACATTTTGGAAGTGTCTGTAGTAACATACTGTACCACTGCGGACATAAAAATGGGATCATAAGATTATTCTGTTGACATTACATGTGAAACGGCCCTTAGATAGTAACCTCACTTTGAAGTAGTTGTCAGTGATTTTGACGTTTTGAAACGTCAAATTTGACGTTAAAGCCTACTTCACACTGAATTTTCAGAAAATGTTAAAAAAATGTACCTCGTTCTAGCGAAGCAGCGCGTTTTTCCTCCTGAAGTTTGTTCTGTTGAAGAACAGAACTGAGCTTACAGAGCCAATCTTTAAAGTCGGCTTCATTTTCAGCTGCCAATAGGTAGGACTTGTGGCCGGCGGTCATTCGCAGTTCGAAACAAAACCGTCCTCGTTTCGGATTCTATAACATTTTATTATTTAATTAAACTTGTTTATAAATTTTGTAAACCAACCTTAACAACATCCGTACAGAAATCCATAACAATAGTGACCTTTGCCTCGCCTTTCTTCTCATCTTTGTACAACTCCAACATGTAGGTACCATCAACTTCCTGTCGCAACGAACAGTACCTCCGTTTGAAACTCTTCGATCCGATGTTAACAAAAGTTCTTTCAGAGCCAACCTCTGGACCCTTCATCAAATACCCCTCTTTCGTTATACTGTCAATTCTTGGCTTAACACCATCCTCAGCATCTATATCAATATCGATCTCGTAATTTTCCTCCTTGTATACCACGTTGGGTATTTTCGGGAGATCAGCGTAACTCCCGGAATAAGCATTATATTTATAATGAATCAAGTTCCAATTAGATGAATAGCTCGCAATACACTGTTTTGTGAAGAGATTGCAATTCTGCGTTTCCTCACTCGAGGGAAATGTTTGATACAAAGTTCGGTACCTCCTCGGTAGAACAACTTCCTGAAAACTCACTCTTGAGACAAAAACAACAACAACAACTCAAACTCACGGAGATATCATCAGGAGGGTAGAGCAAAAGTTCACGTTGCGGGTCATTCTGAAGCACAGTCTTGTTCTTGAGAAGAAAATTCTCAAAATCGAGAGGCTCAACAAGTTGCGGTTTACTCTGAAGCAACAGAAAGAAACAATCAAACAGATGTAAGAACTTTAATACAACGTTTCGACAGCATCATCATAAAAATATTCATCACTCGATTCGTCTTTTACACTTTCTTCGCGCTCAAAACTAGACTCGTATTTTATATTTTGCTCGGATTCGCTTTCCCCCGATTCCTCGAAACCACCTTCAAAACTCGGCGAAAACAACGGCACCAATTCTTTACCGCTCTCTCTATCAAACTCTTCTTCCTCAGAAGTGAAACTTTCAGAAGAAAATTTCGCCAAAAAAGTCAACTCTTCCTTCGAATCCAGTGCTTGTAAATCGACAACATAGTTAAGTTTGTCCATCCAAGTGACCACTTTGTCACAAATATCGATCACTGTTCTCTTGTAAACGTTTCGAGTTGACCTATTGGCGATTTTTATAACTTTCTTGCGCTCTAACCAATTCAGAATTTCATCGGACATGATCATTTCCTTGAAATTTAACATAAAGAGTGGTTCGGTTTCAAAATGTTGCACAATGGTGTCCACAGTTTCACCAATTTGACAATCCAACCATTTCCTCGCATTTGAATTATCCTTGCACTTGCACTTTTTCTTCGGTTTTGCTTTCTTGCGATCGAGAGAATCAAAGTAGGCTCGTGCATTTGGCACTTCTAAATCATTTCCTTCACTGTTTAGAATCCTTTGAAACCGCTCCAATTGCTCGGCGGAGTACACATTTTGGTAACTTTTCCAATTGGCCAAAACTAGGCGTTTGGAAGGTGCTGCGATTTGGGCAATGCGTGGAGAGCAAGAGTCAAATTTTCGACAAAGATTCGAATTAGACACTGGTTGGGGTTTGGGCACTTTGGGTCGAGGGGTGGACAACAAATCCATGTATTCTTTCTGTGACAAACTACTCCGATCTATTAGAGACTTCGATTTGAAATGGTTTGGTTTGCCCGATTTTGGTTTCTCCATTTTTGACACTAGGAGTTTTCGCAAAGGGGCACACTTGGAGTTCTTCACCCCCAAACACGGAGTTGAACAAAATGGGGAAAGCTTAGTGTGAGTCTTGGGAAACAAAAACGTTGAACCCAATTCACTTTGGAGGTAGTTGCTGTCAGAATCCTGCAATTTCGAAAGTTGGCGAATATTTTGTTTTGTGGGTTTAGGAGGGCAAGGTTTAGGGCATCTCCCGCAAGTCCCTTTCCTAGGTTTAACAGTCAAGGGTTTCCTTTCGTCAATTTTCTCGAGATTTGGTGTAGATCTGAGATACGATCTAATTGAGTGTTTGAAATCCGACTCAAGTGTTGGAGTTGAGTGAAATGAGTTTCTTAGACAGTCGTTAGGGCCTTGATGTTGTGATACTGTTTTGGGGCATTTGGGTTTTCTTCCTATCCATATGGGGATTCGAGATGGGGGTGGGTTGATACTTGGTTTTGTTCTTTTGATAATTTCTACTCTGATTGGCAATTTGCTATCGGTGATTTCGAGACATCTATCTTTACTTTTACGAGACATTGTTACAAAAAGGAATGAAGATAAATATACAAACACTTAAATTTAACGAAGACATGATTTAGACAGACTGCACCAACGACATGCTTCAATTTTGTGACACTGGAAATGTCAACTGTTTTTATTTCGATCAAGAAATTTTTATATTTGCATTATTTAATTTCATAAATTATTAAACACTGGCTCATGAATGGTGTGAAACAATATCTTTGTGAGAACTTAAATACAAAAAACGTAATTCCAATTCTACAACTTTCGATTTTGCGCATCCTTGTATTTTTTATCAATCAAATTACGGAATCGCTGAATAATTTCACGTCAAATGACCTTCATGCAAAACAAATATTTAGAAGATCTAAAAAAAATACTTATGTCATGTAAGGCAACCAAGGTAAACTGATTAGTCATTTGTATGAGCTATTTTACAACCTAATGGTATGCTCTAATTGTAAATTTTCGTGAAATTGGTCATAAATTATATTTGCGAGCAAATAGTTTTTCACAAAATGACTATAACTCGTTTCAAATTAATACGACTGACATTCCTGAAGCGTTTCAATGGGGATAAAAAGGGAGAGTGAAAATTGGTCCGATTGGTTGTAGGTATAACAATAAATTTGTGGGAGGGGTAAATTTGACAGATTTGACTACAAAGGACTGTCAACATTAATTTGAAGCGATATTTATTCCACATCACCAAAAATATTTTTTTTTAATTTGACAACTTTAATTATCCTAACAAAACTGTAATAGGTGCATTTTACATGAGCTATTATTTTAAAATAAAAAATACGTGGAAAAATATTTACTTGTGTGACAAGTTAGTATATATCTTTTTTACAAGAAAAAAAATTTGCCGCACGAGCGAAGTGAGTACGCAAATTCGCCCAGTACAAAAAGATACTTTACTAACGAGTTGCATACAAAAAATTTTTCACGTCCGCAATAAAAATCTTCAAACTATCTACTTCAAAAACAGCTTTTAATTTTGAAACATTGATATTAAATATACAAAGTGGTTATAAATGATTTTCAACTAGCCAGCTATGAATTTTCCATGTAAAACAAAAAATGCCGCTTTACGAAAATAAGGGTACCTACTTGTTTTAACTCAAAATTAAAAAATCACTATTTACTAAGCGTCCACTTCGAAAATAGACTACAATTATAAACTTGTTTTCTTCTAAAGTATACATTATTATCAATTATTATGGGAAATTAGTTGAAACAATAAAAGTTCAATTAACAACATTATTATTAACTAATAAGTGGCACTAATGACAGAACTAGAGCTTTCAAAAAAAGTAGAGCGGCACAAATAAAGTTATATGCAAAAAAAAATCCAAAGCTGGCTTAGATGAAAACCATTTATAACCACTCTGTACAATTAACTAATACAAAGAACTCAAATAAGAACTAAAATGCAAAATAAAAGTGTTTTAATTTTTGACAAATGTTAAGTGCTTTTTTGACAGACGTAAAAAAATACATTTTTAGTTAGTTTAATGGCGTTTTTTGTAAAAAGTGGCTGTAAATGATTGCAAACCTATTGGCAACACTGAATTTCTTCTTCTTCTGCCAACGACTGCCCATCAGAGTCAAAATCAACGACAATTTCAAATAAAAGTGTGATTTAAATTTGGTAGTCTACAGGTGTCTCAAAATTCGCGCACTTCCTTGAAATGGAGTAATTGGGTGGTCCCCCAGAGTACTAAAAAAATGTTAAAAAAAATTAAAAAAATTCTATCTATAAAAATTTTGAAGTTATAAGAGTTTAAATGTTGCACTTTGACACTTTTTTATTTCTGTTGAAAAAATAATTTTCCAACTCTGTTTAATGTTATTTGTGGCTTTTATTGGCACGTTTACTAGATAATTGTAAAAAAACATCTACAAGATTATAAGTATCATTAAATAGACATAAAAAAAAAATGTCAAACGTCAAAAAAATATGTCAAAATTTTTTGACAGATAGAATTTTTTAAATATTTTTTCAGTACTCTGGGGGACCCAATTACCCATTTTCAAGGAAGTGCGCGAATTTTGAGACAGCCTGTAGGTTGCTAAATCAACATTTCATATTTGTTGTCCACTTGCCAGTAAGAATAACATTTATGTTCACTCGGTATATTAAAATTTATCATTGCAAACATAAATTATACAACTAGACTTTAATGACAAAGTTTAATGTCGTGCCTGATTAGCATATAATTCATTTTCTCCTTTCATAAACGATGATAATGATAAAAACAGTTGTTTTTGATCCTTAGTGTTCATAATTAACAGCATTTCCTTGTGAAAAAGTGACGATTATTTTATTATTTAGCAGTTTATGAACGGGAAAGTCGTAGAGATCCTCATTTAAATTCAACGATGGTCCCCATCCATGTCGCCGCCACTGCGTCCTAAATTCCTTTTGTTGACCCACTGATAACACCCCACTACCGTGTCGCATACCTATTTAAACACAAACAAGAAAAAAGGAAACGGAAACGCTGATAAAAACTAAACCACTCCGTCAATTCAGACGGGTGCAAAGTTCGTTAACATTTTTTCATATCTCTATCGATTTTCCTGCAAACCGGAAAAACTCCACTATTGGTCGAGCATTTTATCTAATTTATTCCATAATGAAAATCACTCGATCGAGTAGGCGAGATTACACGCCCCGATTAGCCCAAAACAATCGCTAATCAAACGTAAAAATCCAGCCCACTGGGATGCGTCAATTTTGACGTTTATATTCGCGGGTTTTTGCATGTGACGTCCCTTTCCCGGCCCAAAGTGGGCGTAACACAAATTGCACAATTATATAATAATAATGATATAAATGATATAGAGGCGTGATAAATCATGAGATTGTTTCAGTCGATGGCAACGGTCAGTTTCAAATGTATGTACGAAACAAATAAGGTGTGCTGTGCTTCCCAAACAAACAATAATTCGATTGTTTTTTTTTTCCCAACTTACAAGCTCTGTGTTTTCCTTGACGACTTGCGAGACGGTTTCCCTCAGCTGGGCAGCCGTTCCCGGTTTTCCTAGCCCCTTTGCGAATTTTCTTTCACTCATCTTTCTTTATGAAGACACTCGAGACAATTCGCGCTAATATTTACAACATCCATCTCGCGTTTTCATCGACCGATCGCGGTAGGCATAGTAATAAACTGACAGAAAAACCTGTTGTAGTGTCAAATGAAAGTTACCAGACCGGCCCGAGGCAACTGCGATGCAAAAAACCGATACGCTAAATGCATTCTTTACGCGATTTCTTGCATTCTTCGCATTACGGAGGGGAAAATCGGTGCGAAATCGAGGACTAATAAAAATAAGAGCGAATTGACATACTGACAATTCGAATGTCAAAATGTCAAACTTTAATGTCAGTTCGAAGGTGGTTAAGGGTACGGCGAACTAGGACGCGACGTCTGCTGTAAATTTGTGCGTCGTATGGAAATTTTCACAAAAATTGTGCACAAGGACGGCTGTAAAAAGATAATTCGGTGGTTTTCCGACTGTTATTCCGGGTCGGAAGTTACAACAACATAGGCGTGCGTCACTCAAGGGAAAAGGGCGACTGCATCCCTTTATTTTTATTTTTAGCTTTAAAAAACATATATTCTGTTTCAAAACTTTAATATCTGTGCAAAATTATATCTAGGATTTTTTTCTCTAAACCAACTAATCCAGTAACGTAGGTATTTTTACACAAAGTGATCCAGAAAGACTGTTTCAAGATTGCCAACAAAACAGTCATTCTGTTTCTTAGTTTTGATACAAACTTGTGTCACCCTGTCACCTGTTTAACAGCATTAAATAAGCAATAAAAACAGAACAAAAAGAATTTTAATTAACGCAAGGCAAATTGTAAATAAAATTTTATTAGTTTACATAATTTCATTTCTTTTATTTTATTTTTGTTTTAATTGCTTACATACCAATTTTTTAAGTACACTTTGTAGTTGTTATAAATTTAAAAACAGTAAGCAACTTTATCCCATTATGAAATGTTTCTTTGTTCAAACCGTTCTGTCATCAAAGTTTATGCATTTGAAAATTGGTAAGAATTTTTGAGACTATAACAAAAACTATTACAAAAAAAACTTTAGAAAAGATAACGATTTATCTTTTTTATTGTTTTATTAAACAAATATTTACAGATTTGTCAACAAGAAATTACCATCTATTGTTTTTATTGTTTTATTATACAAATATCTACAGATTTGTCAACAAGAAATTACCACCTAGGACTTTGAACTTTTAAGAAAATTACGTTTTTCATGTTGTTTGAAACTACCATTTTCAGAAGTAATTTTGAATGCTTAAGGTTGGTTACCCCTTGTAGTTGACGGTTGACGTTTTCTGTCAACTATCAATTGAATTATCCATACAAGCTGAAAGGTGACAACCTAAATTTTGACACTGATTACGTTACGATATCTTTTGTTTGTCAGTAAAAACCAACCTAACAAAATTTATGGAAACCTATTCACGAATATCCCTAAATCTTAGGGAGTAATTTCTTCCAGATACGACAATATTAATTATTTTTTCAACCATAATTAAGTTAGCAGCAAATTAAGCAATTACACATAGTCATTGCCAACTATGACGCTAAATTAAAAAAAAAACCTACTGAGCTAGAATAAATTCTCTAGATGCCCACAGCAAAAACTGTCGCGCACGCCTATGACCGGACGTTGGGTTTAACATCAGCTGGATCGTAACTTTAGCCACCAATTTTGAAAATTAACTCAAGGTCGTAGGTTAACAAGCAAATTTCCAAGGCCGAAAATCATAAAAATGTGTCGAAAGTGGCATTAAAACAGTAAAAATTTAATGTAAAAATCCTCAGTGACGTAGAATTGATGAATTGCGGAAGTAATCGACGCGTGGTGTTCTAAATAAAGGTGCCTAATAATAGCTTTTTGGAAATTTTTATAGAGGACTCGTTTGCGAAAAAAGCGATGGCGAAAGGATAGAAGCCGTTGATTTATCGAAAAAGCCGTTAAAATAGAATGGAAGACGAATTAGACGACAAAATCCTTTACCAAACATACGTGTCCCACATGAAACTCATGTCTCGGATAGCGTGGGGCGTCCCTCTAAACATCTCCCCGTTAGCGTACACCTCGCACGTATGGAGACTCCTCAAAGTGTACATGTTGAAGCCGGAAATACTCATTTTCGGCACGATAGTCCTGTTCATGTTAATGTATATGCAAGCACTCGATGTATGGAGTCGTAATTTGCTAGGGCGTCTGCAGTACACCATCAACCGGGGCCCCAGAACCGCCCCCGACAAGCTCAGCCTCTTCACCGGGGGCGACTTGGACAAGGCCAGTTGGGAGCTCAAAATCGGCCCTTACGCCGCCTACGCCGTCCAGGGCCGGCGCCCCAAAATGGAGGACCGCTTCGTCATCAACGACAACATCAACAACACGGGCGTGGCCCTCTTCGCGGTCTTCGACGGCCACGGGGGCGAATTCGCCGCCAACTACGCCAAAGAGAAGCTCATCCAAAGTCTCTACAGTCGAGTGGTCGAAATCAAAGACATGATCGCGGGGAAGACGGTGAAAACGTGCGACGAAGAAGACCAACCCGAGAAAAAGGACCCGGAAAAGCCCTCCACTCCCAGTCTTGCCGAGCGCCGGAAAAGCTTCCGGAAAACCAGCTCCACCACCGATGAATGCATCAAAGGTGCCAAAGAAATCACAGACACTGAACTACTCTCAAAGCTAGATAATATAGCACGACCTATAACCCGGGAGGTGCGCCCCTCGTCGCGCCCCCAATCCTTCAAAAAAGTCCCCTCGACGAGCTACTTCGACAAGGCGGGAACTGTCAACTATGGGAAACTCCTCACCGACGAGGTGTTAGCCGCCGATCAACGCCTCCTCGAAACCGCCAAGAAAAGCATGGACGTAGCTGGAACCACCGCTCTGATCGCCATCCTCGAAGGCGCGAAACTCATCGTGGCCAACGTGGGGGATTCCCGGGGGGTGATGTGTGACAACAAGGGCAATGTCATCCCCTTGTCTTTCGACCACAAGCCCCAGCAGATGCGCGAGAGGAAACGCATCAAAGAGGCTGGCGGTTTCGTTACTTTCAACGGCGTCTGGAGAGTGGCCGGCATCTTAGCCACTTCCAGAGCGCTCGGGGATTACCCGCTCAAAGACAAAAAGTTGGTCATTGCCGACCCGGATATTCTCACGTTCGATCTAAACGACCACAAACCGATGTTTGTGATTTTGGCTTCCGATGGCTTGTGGGACACTTTCTCGAACGAAGAAGCGATCAATTTTATCAAGGAACGACTGAACGAACCCGATTATGGTGCTAAAAGCTTGACTTTACAGTCGTATTATCGCGGTTCTTTGGATAACATCACTGTCATTGTGATTAACTTCAGAGATAACGCCTTTAGCTTCCACAGTACGGAGAAGAGCGCTTAGGAAGAGGCTCGGTTTTGCTCAAATTAGTTGAGATTTGTACCTGAGGTTTAGTCTAGGTCATTTTGTGTTGATTTTACTGATTCCTGAAGTCTCTTGAATCGATTACGTGTTGTTTAAGTTTCAAAGAACTACAATTACTCAATAATGGCTGTAAGGTTTGTTGATTATTTCTCTCGATGTATACAATAAACGAATTAAAACGACGTTTTCTCTTTATTTCAAGTGGCAGCGGTACATTTTTAATAAGCCCTGCATTTAATCAACCCGTTTTGTTTATTAGAGTGGGGCAAAAGCTACAAGTACACAACTTAGAGGGGACGCGGAGCAGTGGTGTCCTTTCCGAAATATTGCGATAATAAAGCGTATCTACACGCCACTCTTTTTTGTGCGTTTTAGTCATCTCCAGGTGTGCACTCTTAGCTTTTACCCCACTCTACACATTGTTTAAACAAGAATTGATTAAATGTGGGATTATTCATCCCCTCCACTGAAACGTTACAAAACACAGACCCACAATTTAATAGTGAAAAATATTTAAGCTTTACATACAGGGTGTTCGTTTTTCGAGCTCCACCATGGGGATCTCAGTTATTATAAGAGGTACGAGGTCTGTTAAATTAGGGCAAAGTTGCGCATTTTTATGTTGAACAATAATCTGAAAGAAAATTTAATGTGTCATTATTAGTTTTTGAATTATTGGAAAAAAAAACGTAAATTTGTAATTTTCGTTTTTATTTTTTCAAGCGAAAACTAAAAGACCTAGACGTTTTTAACTAGGACATTCTTAAGACACTTTTTTACGAGAAATCTAAATCTGTCATCATAATTTCCAAGGCGCTCTTGATATCAGAGTTACAACACTCATCCTTGGATTTTCTTATGGACGCCATATTAGATTTCTGTATTTTTGAAAAGTCTTTTTGTTCCTGAATACAACGATGTATCACACGATATGATCAAATTTTACATGCTGATCAAAATTAAGAATAAGCATTTTTGCGAAGAGTGCTTTGGAAAAAATGCCAACAATTTCCAGATCTAAATTCAATTGAACTGTCAAAATTTAGTTTGTTAATTAAAATTGCAGGCGTTTTTTCCAAAGCACTCTTTGAAAAAACGCTTTTTCTTAATTTTGATCAGCATGTACAGGGTGCTGCATTTTGGATGTCCGAATAGGGAATCTCCGAAACTATGATGTTTAGCCAAAAACGAGTAATACATTCTGGGGCTCATTTTTTGAGAAAATAATATTGGTTAAAACCGCATCCCGCTATCGTCTTTTGTTTTCGACTTATAGACAAAAATTGACATTTTAGCAAAATCTAAAAAAATTCATATCTTCGTTATTATACTTCTATACACAGATTTGAAATAAAGACATTATACAGGCACTTTTTTACGTAGAATTTAATAATGTAGTTAACAATTTTTTTCAGTTGTTTGTTTAGCCGTAATAAAATAAACTTGTATTTTTTTAAATGGGAATCATAGATGGCTATGTCATTTTTAAAAAGCTTGTTTTTTTTCTTATCTAAAAAATATATATTTGTAACAAATTATTATAACACATTTTTAGCAAAAAATTATCTTTGATTTTTGTTCGCAGTTGGCCATGAAAAAATGTTGCATCTTCGACTAAAAGAATTTAAACTATATTATATTCAACCAGTGTCACTAATGAAAGAGTTTTCTAAGTACTAAGTGATGAAAAAGATGCAAAATAAATTGTAAATCAACTTATTGGCGACTAATAACATTTCTTTGTTTTTAAACAAGCTAACATTACCATTGCTATTTCTAGTGATATATAGAGTGTTGTAAAAAAAAGCCGCTTTAATTCTTCAATAAAATATATTTTATATGACACAAAAATATCGATATTTCTATTCAAATACCCAAATTCCATCTATGTGAAACGTTATCCTACCTCCATTAGATCATCAAAAAAATGTTTTTTCTAATTGTGTTGACTGTTGACACATTTGTTTTTCCTATTTTTGGATTTTTTAAAAATATAATATATATATAAAATGTAATAATTTTGTTCTGAGGCGCTCGGATATTTGTTCAATGCTTCTACCGTATCGTATTTTTTAAATCTTTATAATTTTATCTATTTTTTCATCTATGTTACAGTTCACAAAACTCTTATTTATTATTATTTACACATTTGGAATGAAATAGTTTTTCCATGGCCAACTATTATCACACAAAATATGTATTTCACTTTTTAAGTATAGTTATAAAAAAATATTTTGTTAAAAATATATATTTTTTAGATCAGAAAAAAATAAGCTTTTCAAAATTGCCATAGCCGCCTATGATGCCCATTTAAAAAAATACAAGTTTATCTTATTACGACTAAACTAATAACTGAAAAAAATTGTTAACTACATTATTAAATTCCTCGTAAAAAAGTGCCTGTATAATGTCTTTATTTCAAATCCGTATCTTCTATAATAACGAAGATATAAATTTTTTTAGATTTCGCCAAAATGTCAACTTTTGTTTGTAAGTCGAAAACAAAAGACGATAGCGGGATGCGGTTTTAACCAATATTATTTTCTCAAAAAATGAGCCCCAGAATGTATCCAAAATGCAGCACCCTGTACAGTGGCGGTCATTGAAAAGTAATACACGGGATTTTGACACATCCTCTCAAAATTTAAAAAATTGCATAATGTAATTTTTTCTTTGTCGTGATTGTCAGTATCACTGAAAACGTCACATTTGACAAATTGTAGAATGTACAGAAATCTATTATTATTACAAGATTAAGAGACAATGTCCCTCTACGAGTCATCGCAGAAGAAATAAATGTGAACAAAATAACTGTCCTTAAAACAAAGATGAAGATTCTAGTGATATTTTAAACATGACAGTGATTGTCAATTTCAGGGGAACATTTACAACGCCAAATTTTTTTTATTTGTCAAGTGTATTACTTTTCAATGGCCGCGACTGTAAAATTTGATCATATATCATTTGATCATATCGTTGTAATCAAGAACAAAAAGACTTTTCAAAAATACATAAATCAAATATGGCGTCCAAAAGAAAATCCAAAGTTGAGTGTTGACATCAAGAGCGCCTTGCAAAATACAGATTTAGAGTCCTTGTAAAAAAGTGAAGACCTAGACTAAAAAGTTTTCGCTTGAAAAAATAAAAACGAAAATTACAAGTTTCCGTTTTTTTTAATGACACATTAAATTTTCTTTCAAATTATTGTTCAACATAAAAATACGCAACTTTGTCCTAATTTAACCGACCTCGTATGTCTTAGAATAACTAAGATTCCTATGGTGGAGCTCGAAAAAAACACCCTGTATAAGTAAGATCGGCATCCATTTATGTACAGTCGACATTTTTGGCACCGGTAGCGTTAAAAGCATCACGAGTGGCGCCACCTCGATAAATGCACTTTGTACAAAAACAAATTTGAGTAACTATTTACATATTTTTCGGTCAAAATTGTTACAAAATTTCAAACTCGTGCTCCGAGTCGTATTCGCCCGATAGTTCGAAATCGGCTGCTTCCACGGCGTCGTCCAGCGTCGGCTTCCACTGTTTCGGTTTTTCATAAGTGACTTCGAATAACGGCTGTTTTTCAGGTTCGATGAGGTCTTTTTTGATCGCGTGACATAAATCATTAAATTCGGCTTCAGTACTGCAGAAAAAGCACTAAAAGTGTTCCAAATTTAGGACTGTTTGTTTTGGGGGTGCAACAGTTAGTTTACCACAGCTACCGAGGGATCCATGCTGAGTATGTTTATCCTAGAAGCGTATTTACAGTGGTAACTAGAATCCAGTTCGATTTCCTCTTCTGTCTCTTTGTTTTCCACTGAACCGGATTTCTGCGTCGTGTGGGGGTCCAGGTATATTACTTCATCTCCTACATATCCTATGAAATATAACGCCAAGTTGGGCTTGCCCCCAATCACCCCCAAACTCTGTTTGAACTTGAAACATTTCTAAAAAACAACGATAATAGTGTGGAAACAAACTTTTTTCTTACTTTTAATCCACTGGCATAAATGGGATTAATTTCCTGCAGTCCCAATCGCAAAGGCACAATAAGTAGCAGCGGTTTCCAACCCCCACTGCCACATTTCATACTCACACACCCCTCATCCTCTTGACTTAAGCACAACTCTCCTGAAAACCACCCCATCAAAACTGTTCCAAACCCCAACTCACTTACTTATATCACTAATAATAAGTGCGTTATCTAAGGCTATATGAATCGCAATTGAGCTCCAATCATCATACTTCACCAACTTCCTACAAACAAAACATTTAAAAATCCCTAAACCAGCCCCGCCTTTTATTACTTCAAGACTTGCGCCACGGTGTTGGGTCCGAACCACTGCCCCACATCCTTGTTTTCCGACACCCCCATCATGGCAATCTGGTGTATGGAAAAGGGCGCTTGTCTCTTGTCTACAAATTTACTAAGGATTTTGAGATAAGTGGAGTCTTTGGTTTCTGGCTCCCAGATCCAGTCCCGGCCCAGATGGAGTGTCACTAGAGCTTGCGCCAGGACCATCTGGCCGCATCGGAGCATGCAGCCCCATCCCTTGTCGGTGGTGAGGCCGTCGTCGCCCCCGATTGGAACGAAGTTTTTCCGATATGTGAACCAGATTTTTGAAAGAATGTCTTGACGAATTGTTTCTAACTCTAGACAGGTTGTTAGGCCATGACTGGGTCAAGTAAGGGGGCTTACCTTGAAGTGCGTTGTACTTTTTGCCTAGGATATAGACGGGGTCTGACGTGTGGGGGATGTCATCGGGCTCAATGCTCCCATCTAGGTATAATTCGAACATACCGTCCATCGTCACAAGAAGTGATATTCATACATTTAACGCTAAATTGGTAAATCGTAGAGGAAGTTTCAAGAATCACTGTGTTTCACAGTTTGTTTTCATTTTTAATGTCAAATCGCCATGTTTGTGTCAAACAACAGCTGATCTGTCAAATAAACGTCAATTTTTTTGTTTAAATAATTATGTTTACTACAATCACAGATTACGTAATTAAGTTGATTATAATTTAGCCTATTATTTTTATGTTAATTAATTAAATAATTTTACCAAATAATAATAAATTTTTATTAATGTGTATAATTGGTTGCCTATTATGCAAGACATAAAACATTTAATTCTGTGGTACAGTAGAACCTCATTACCAGGGACTTTCTAAATATGCCTTATGTATTTTTAGTTCTAGACAAAATGGTGTTTTAAACCTTGCATTACAGCTATTTGTTAAAGAAGTCTGGTACTTATTACTTATTTTAAAAATAGTGTGTCCTTGTGTCCGGACGGTCATTGGAATGGCTATTGGAATGTTTGAAACGTTACTTCAAATGTAATTTTTTGTCAGAAATAATTTCCATTATCATTCCAATGCTAATAGGCATAATAAAAATGTCCGTTTAAACAATTCGTTGAATTGACAATTTGCAGTTAGTGTTAACGACTTCTGACAATTTTTACAAAAAGATGCGTCTTTTCAGGTTCTTAAAAATTATTACGGATGATAATTATATCAAATAACATTATGTTTCTTAACACTCAAGGTAAGAGTTATTCATGGTTAATGTACTTAAATGGTTTTAAACAAATTACTTCATCACTGATGATTGAAATATGCTTAAAATAAAGTAGTTCCGTGTCTAAAAACGCTATTTTTATTGTTTTATTCACACAATCACGAATGCTTAACATGTTTTCGTTTATCCAAATGTTTCAACATAGATATAAAAGGTGTCTCAAAAAACAAGCACATCAAAGTCGAACATACGACGATGATAACCGAATTGCTACAAAAGTCGCAAAACTGAAACGCTTCATTAATCTTAAAATTGTTGTTTTTTATGCAGTGTTACCAATCCAAAATTGCTAAAATATCTTGCATATTTTTGATTTCCTGTCACAACCATTATGACCAAGACGTGAGTCAGGTACATGCTGTAGGTAAGTTTGCCCAAAACAATAAAAACGGGGTGGGACAAAAAATTGTTGATAATTCCTGAAAAAAACCTTTCATCTATTTTTGAAAAACTGTGTTTTACCTCCATGTCCGGTGCTGCAACTAAAAACGATAAAACAAACAGATAAAGACCAGAGGAGTCTTGAGCAACTGTTGAAAAAAGCCGATCGAAAGACATTGTGAGGAGAATTCAAAAAAACCTGGTGATACAAAATTAATTGCAACATAAGTAGCAACGAAGTTGTCCATAGTAGAAAATTCGTTTTTGGGGGAATTTGAAACTTTTTCTTTTGGTAAAGCAAGTACCCCAAAACAGTGCCAACTAACCAAGGAGGCATGCGTGACAATGGATTAAAATACGTTATTCTTGAATCATTTTCATCCATTCTGAAAAACATTCATTGAAACATTTTTTCAATTTCAATTTACTTACTCCCAGTATGATATAAATCCAATATTGTAATAAACAACTATCAAAAAAGTGTACAAAATCGACAATAAGCAAACAACTGTAATTCCAAGTAGAGTTTTTGATGGGTTTTTCTTTATATAATAAAGTATGATGGGTGCTACCACCACATAGAGCTGGGTATCCACTGATAAGTACCAAGAATGTTGCATACACTATAATTGATTTTATTTCTTTGGGGTCAAAAAAAATCTCACTTACCTTGTTATTAAAATTAAGATAATTGCTGAAAAAAAATAATGTTGCCCACCATGTGTACTCACAGGGGACTTGCAATTTTTTAACAATTAAGGGCCAGAGAGGCCCTTCGCTTACGTATTTGTACAGATTTGTGTAAATTAGAAGGGTTGCAAGGAGTGCTGGTACTAGCCTAAAATCAAAAAACTTGATTAATTACTAATTATTTGGAAAATAAATAAATTAAGTAGCCTGAAAAAACGTCAATTCATCGCGATTAAAAAAATAGGATAGAAGAAAGAAGAGCATAAAATAGGATTTTGATGCGAATAATTCATATGGAGGGGCAATGTCTGAACATTTTTCATGTATGCTTATGTATTGGGCCAGTTTTTTTGTTACAATAACTTGAAACATTAAAATTGACTATTTGCTATAAAAGATGGAGTCCTAGAAAGGTTCTGAGTTTCAAGGTCCATCTCTCCCGATTCACCCTCTATGTAATTCTGAAGGTAATTTCCACAATTTTAATTCTAATTGATTTCCGGATGTTTGTACAACTGATTTCAAGCAAAAAAAGATTATACGTTTTTTGCTGGCTTCATCGCGATGTTGATTTTCAGTTACGATGAATATTAAATAGAATGAAAAATAAATAATTAAAAATAAATATCGGTAGAGCTGAAATCCTCTGTCACAGAGACTAGAATTTTGTTCGTTTGATGTAAATTCGTTCTTCTGTACATGAATTAAATAAAACAGTTTTCCCTTTTATTTTCCTAGAAAAACACTCGCGTTTTACAAAGAATGAGCGCAAAAGTCACAATTTGCGATACAGCAAGTGTTAATTGTGAAATTATTTTGCTCAAATTTTTGCAATATCACGCCATTGTTTAATTCGCTTTGATTAAAATATAAATAAATATTAAATACAGTGGCAATGGAACAATATACAAAAAAAATCATATTTGAAACACGTCCGGACTGTTCAAAAAAGCCAAAAAATTCGAAAAGTGGAAATTATTGGCAAAAATCGACCAAAACTCGAGAGGAATCTTTAAAATTGATCCATTTAAGGTTTTTTACATTTCTAGAGGTCTTAAAGATCAAAGAAGTAAACAAAATTTACTAAATTATTTGGAAAATAAATAAATTAAGCTTGAGTTTTTCGCTCGATTCGCTCACTCGTTTGATTTTACCTTATTACTCTGTGTAGGTAGAAAACTAACAAATTAATTTTGAGCCTTTCTGAGTACTTCAAATGGATGTAAACTACCAAAAGACCACTTATTGAAAAAAACGTATCTACTGCGTATGGGGCTGCGGTGATAAAAGTGCTCGCATAACTAGTTTTCCACTAAAAAAATTACAAATTATTTTAAAAAAATACAATAAAATGCAAGAGAACTTCAGTGATAATGTAGAGAGTGTTAATGTTGGAGGAAAATATCTGGGTGAGTGCAATATGGCCGACGATGACCCATGCCATACTCAGCACCCGAATACCATACAAGCAAGTCAGACCATCATTTTCACACTGTGTTGACAAAAGTCGCTTGGTGTTGGTGTAGAGAGAAAAAGAGACGAAAATGTCAGGTTGAAACTTACAATTTCGCAAATACAAATCATAAATTGTGCTTGACACTACCATGGTTAAAATCACACCAAAAAATAAGCTAAAATCAGTGTTTAAATTTTGTCAAAATTTTAAATAAATTGTGTACAAGACATAGAAATCATTGGTACTTGTGTATTGCTTGTCTCCAGAAACACAAGTTCCTTCCAAAAATTTCGCTTCAATTGGTATGTGGAAAAGTTTCTGTATGTGGCCCCACAACCGATTCAGGTCTTTGATTGAGCACGATTTGGGGAGACAAAGACCTAGGAAAGCTTTCGTATATTTGAGAAAAAAACTCCAATCGATGATTTTCCCGGTCCCTCTTTGTTTACCAATCTAGAAATGGAAAAATGGGGAAAATTCATAATTGTAGTGACCTACATTTTTGACCATGTTGAAAAACGTTTTCGTGGTATTTTCGAACGTTTTCACCGAGACTGTACAATATTGCCCAGTTATGTCTCTCCCAGTCACACTGAGACATTGGTCGTAGTTCCCAAATTGGCGAAAATTACCATTGAAAAACCCAGGATGTAATTTGCTACTAGCATCAAACACTAAAAATTCACTCAAAATTTAAAAAAATTAAAAACGAAAGAAACTCACTTCTAATCGCCCACCATTTCAGGTCTACCAAGTCTGTAAAGAATTTTTTCAGATCTGAGGCACATTGTGTTTCTTCGACACCGTTTTCAATTGTATTTATAACTGTAGGCTTGATTAAACTGAAAAATAGAGATGGGTTAAATAATTGTGCGTTAGATTTTTGAACTGTAAGAATGAAAAAACAACCCAAAACGGTAACTATTATTTTCATTGCGACTCTTGTTCTATTCTTTTTTGAAATAGTGTGTTGTGTTTTGTTATCAAGTGTTATCGGCTTTTACTTAAGGCTTTGACAAGTACAATTATGCTAATTATTCAACGGTAGTAATTGTGCTAAATATTATATAACGAGTTGGTGTTATTATTCTAGATAACTTTTTTAACAATACATATGATATGAATTTGTAACCTTGACCCTAGGTCTCCAGGTGTTACGAAACAACTTTGAGCATTTTTATGATTTGTTGGTGTCACAAAATCGCACAATTTTTGATAATTTGACAATTTTTTTTACTAAAGACCCTGAAAATACTCAAACCAGATCACTTAACCTTTTATCAAATTGTAAAAAATCGGTCCAAGTGAAGATCTCTGACATTGGATTAAAAGTGAAAGTGATGAGTTTCAAGGGCAAATATGTTGTTGCCGCCATAAAATCTTTTATCAATTAGGAATAAAAACATAAAATTAGACAGTCCGACTAAAGGTTATTGCTCAGTCTCCCGGAGAGGAGGATCACTGAAATTTAGTGGAAGGTTATCCTTGACCCTTGAGACAGAATTCAGCGAGTACATCCTGTTCGAAAGGATTATTGTTCTCGACGACAACTTGGATGATTAATTTTTTCAAAAACACTATTCCTATTGTAATAAGTTAATAACCACTTCCTGGTAGTGAAAAATGCTGTTCACTGATTGTTTTATGAACATTTTAGACCAAATAAGGATTTGCGGTCGACTGTGACAAAACCACATACAATGTTTGCTTCTAATGTGAAGAGAAAATTATAAAATCTGTTTTTTTTTAATGGAAATGGCAAATAGTCTTAACGTTGGCACATATCTTCAAAAATTACAAATTTTGATACAAACTGTCATCCCTTGTTTAACCTTCTTGGGGGTGATTTAAAAAATCCTAAAACATGCTTTTCTTTATTTTTAACAGAAAGCCCCAAAAACAATTTTTATGGATATAATCATAATCAGAATAAACGAATTTTTATACAATTTTACACCCCATGTTTAACTCTCTTGGGGGTGAAGTTTCTAAAAATATATAAACACTTACATCTTTAAAAATACTAATTTTCATGGATACTACTTAACAAATTTTGATACAAATTTTCATTCCCTATTTAACCTCCGTGGGGTGGAATTTCCAAAAATACTAAATCACGTGTTGCTCTATTTTGAACCGAAAGCTCAAATACCAATTTTCAAGGATGTAACTTCAAAACTGACCAGTTTTAATACAAACTGTCATCCCTGTTTAACCCCCTTGAGGGCAAAATTTTGAAAAATCCTAAAACACGTGTTTCTTCATTTTTAACAGATACCCCAAATTCTAATTTTCATAAATATAACTTCAAAAATGACGTATTTATAAATATTTATAAAAATTTTCATCCCCTTTGGAGAAGGAATTTTCCAAAATTCTGAAACACGTGTTTTTTTGTTTTTAAGTGAAAGCCATAGATTTAGGTTTAAAAAAATACGGATATTTACGAACCTTTACCCTTGTTCAACCCTTTTGGGGGTAAAATTTCCAAAAATCCTGTAACACGGTTTTTTTCATTTTTAACCGAAAGTCTAAGTACCAATTTTCAAGAATTTAACTTTAAAAATGACAAATTTCAATTCAAATTGATCTTTGTTTAACCCCCTCGGGGGTGGAATTTTCAAGAATCTTAAAACACATTTTCTTTATTTTTAACCAAAACCCCAAATCTTAATTTTCACAAATATAACTTCAAAAATTACGAATTTATAAATATTTATATACAAATTTTCATCCCCTGTTGACCCCTTTGGAGATGGAATTTTTCAAAATCCTAAAACACGTGTTTTTTTGTTTTTAAGTGAAAGCCCAAATACCAATTTTCATGGATTTAACTTTAAAAAAATACGGATATTTACGAACTTTTACCCTTGTTCAACCCTTTTGGGGGTGAAATTTCCAAAAATCCTAAAACACGGTCTTCATTTTTAACCGAAAGTCTAAGTACCAATTTTCAAGGATTTAACTTTAAAAATGACAAATTTCAATTCAAATTATGATCCCTGTTTAACCCCCTCGAGGGTGGAATTTTCAAAAATTCTAAAACACATTTCTTCATTTTTAACCAAAAGCCCAAATCCCAATTTTCATAAATATAACTTCAAAAATTACCAATTTATAAATATGTATACAAATTTTCATCCCCTGTTTGACCCCTTTGGGGATAAAATTTTTCGAAATCTTAAAACACGTGTTTTTTTGTTTTTAACTGAAAGCTCAAATACCAATTTTCATGGATTTAACTTACAAAAAAAACGGATATTTTACAATCTTTTACCCTTGTTCAACCTCCCTTGGAGATGGAATTTCCAAAAATGCTAAATTACGTATTTTTTATTTTTAACCGAAAGCCTAAATACCAATTTTCATGGATATAACTTTAAACCTTCGAATTCACCACCCCATATAACCCCCTTAGGAGTTGATTTTATCACTAGTGTTAAAAAGAAAACAAATAACACTATTTTCATAGCAACGTCACGACCTAGTATGATTTTGGAAAATTATTGAAATCACAGATTTTAAATTCGAATTTGATGCCTATGCTTTTCACAACCAAATTGGAAAAAATCTTGTATAAAACACGATTCAAAACGGCTGGTTTTTGCACACGTCTAGTAAAAACATGCTCATTTTGCAACTTGTTGCATAAATAGCTAACATTTCTTTTAAACATTTTTTTTAGTAACATTTTTTAACTTTTTTATCGTAGACGATTTTGGTTGAGAAAAACGAAATTTAAAAATTTTATTTCTTCATTTTTTTTATTTCTATTAATTATTGTTTTTTTGAATGTATTTTGAAAGAGTTTTTATTTTGTTTTGATTTCCAAGTGTTACATTTTTCTTAGTATTTATTAGTTCATGTTATTTACTATAATTTTTATATTTTTTTATTTTTTATATTTATGGTTTTAGAGATCCCTGTCTTATAGTTTTATTTATAATTTCCGTTAGAAAAAAATATGGTTTTATATTCCTATTTTGTATAACATGTTTTTGTCTTTGTAATAAAATATATATTTTTAAACTGCCCTGAGGTTGCCCCTCTCTAAGAAAAATTGTAACGACGCCCATATTTCGTTTCATATCCATCTGAAAATTGATAAAAATTGTGCAGATTTGAAAAGGAATATATCAAACTTTGTAAATTTATTGATGTTTAACCTTCTTAGAAACAAAGTGAGTCTTAAAACGAGCTAAAATCGTAGTCCATTACTGAAAAATTTGCACGAGTTTTCAGTAGTCCTTAATTACCATCGATGTAAAAATGCAACAGCGAATTGTCCTATCTTTTCCAACATCCTTGGCATAACTTATGTCATCAATAACCAATAAAAATGCAAATGATTCACATTTTAACATACATGCGTGCGTGACAAATAATCAACAAGGACAAAATTGGTTAATTCCTGTATATGTTTGCAAACTAGCAGTTGTCATAAATTAACCAAACGCCAAATTCCCGACAAGACAATTAACATTATTTGAAAAAAAGTAGTAATAGGGCCCCATCAGGACACAGCACTTTTTAAGGTAAAACACCCTGATTTTCAAGGCAAATAAAAAAGCAGTGATCCCGTTCAGGACACAGCACTTTTTTAAGGTAAAACACCTCGATTTTCAAGGTAGATCAAAAGTCTAAGATTTCAAGCAAAACACCCTTTTTATTTACCAAGGGTAAATAAAAAGCAGTGATCCAGTTCAGGACACCGCACTTTTTAAGGTAAAACACCCTGATTTTCTAGGTAGTTAAAAAAAGTAAAAAATATCAAGCAAAATAACCCGATTTTCAAGGACAAATAGAAAAGTAGAAAATATTGCTAAAATGACCGGTTTTCAAGGGTAAATAAAAAGCAGTGATCCCCTTGAGGACACAGCACTTTTTTTAAGGTAAAAAGGTAAGGGTAAACAAAAAAGCAAAAAAAAAAAACGTTAAAACACCACCGATTTTCCAGGTAGTTAAAAAAACATCAAATAATCATAAAAACACCCCGACTTTCACGGGTAAACAGAAAAGCAGAAAAAATCGTGAAGACACCCCCGATTTTAAGATATAGGTATTTTAAAATTAAAATTTTTTAGAGATTTTGGCATGTTTTCTATTGGGCCACTTGAGCACAAAAATGAATACGGTTTCAGGCAAGAAAATTCACCGTTTAAAAAGAAACACTTAAAATTCCCGAAAATCTCTTTAATTATTTTTACATATATTACTTATTTATGTTTTAAACATTTTGAACACCACTAACACCAGAGTCTGATGTTGGATTTGTGGACGGCAGGCTGTCCGAGCTGCTTGACGCCGATGTACTTGCGTCGGAAGCGGAACTTTCATTTTCCGGTCTGAAAAAACAAAACAACCAATATAAAGTAAACAATTAATTATCTACCGTTTTTTTAACTTACAAATTTAGGTGTCCAACAAATTCATGTCCCTGGGCCGCCGTATCAAACACCAAATGGATTGTTAGTGCAGGGTGTAATGCAATGGTTATATAGTTTGGAATTACCAAACTTAGACGTTGTGGGGGTATTCTGTACCCCACGAGTCCTCCATTTAATAGCGGGAACGGTACAATGGATATTATCCCATTTCCCGCTTGCACATCAACCCTTACAGGGGCGGAATTAATAAATAATATACAACTCCCCACAAACACCATAGTCTTACTGCTCTTTTGTCTACTAATCTGCAATTGTCTAAATTCCTCAACGAGATGTGTTTTTATTCCATACGTTTTATCTTCCATTTTTTTGTTATATAGGAAAAAATTTTAGCGATTTAGATAGCAGTGACAGCCACAGAACACTATCAGCTGCTGTTGACTCAGACAAAGGCCCAAGCCAATAAGCACAAGCGCATGCGTGCAATTTGGCGGAAACAATAAAACAGAAACGATAAAATAGTTCCTCACTTCCTCAGCATTAATTTTTTGTGTTTAATGTGTTTCAAAACTAAAGAACTTAATTTATTATAAAATAATTAATATCCAAATGGTATTGTATCAAAGGTTTCTAGAATAACCCTCCTCTTATCATAAACAAAACCAAGTTCTTTTGTTTCTATTTTATTTAAAAGTTCTGTAACGGTCGAAAAATCCAGAATCCTAAATAAATAAGTGAGGTTATTGTGAAAATTTTTTGAATTTTGAGTTTCGTTTTGAATTTCTTATACCGTTTTGAATTTTTTATTTCGTTTTGAAAATTTTATTTTAAACTTGATTTTTATTTTAGTTTAATTAATTAATTCGTGTGAAACACGTTATTAGTCTAACGCGAAAAAATTTGCCCGCTATAAGGATTCGAACACGCAGCGAAAGTGTGCACATGTTGAGAGCTCGACGCCTTAACTTCTGCGCTAACGCAGTTTAGCGATAAGCGTGCGTATTTGTGTTAAATAAATGACTGGCAAAGCCAATCAAGAGTCAAAGACGATGAATACCTCTTTGCCTATTCATTTTATTAAAGCCGATGAAAAAGAACATTACAATGTTAATAAATTAGCGCCAAAATGGCCTTTTATATTAATAATTATAGGACGAAGCGGTTCTGGTAAAACAAATACTGTTGTCAATCTTTTAAAATATTTATTTTTTGATACTTTTTATTTGTATGCGAAAGATTTAGAAGAACCTTATTATCAGTTATTACAAAATGTGTTTGATGATGAAAAAATATCGATAATTGAATCGTATTTTTCATCAGATATAGAAGACATAGTCGATGTAGACGAACTGGATAGAGATAAACAAAACTTGATTGTTGTTGATGATTTCGTAACTGAAAAAGATCAAAAAAAATTGATAGATTTAGCTATACGCGGAAGAAAAATGAATGCTTCAATGATTTATATAACGCAGGATTGGTATAGAGTACCAAAATCAATTCGTTTACAATGTAATTATCTTTCAATATTTCCATCGTGTGATGGTAATGATATAAGCTTAATATTTAGAGAAAAGGGGTTGGATAAGAAACTCAGGGAATATTATGAAAATAACATTAAAAATTTTGATTGCTTAACTATTGATTTCAAAACTCCTGAAATGAAATATAGAAAGAATTTTACACCCATAAATGACTGGCAAAGCCACCCCAGAGCCGAAGGCGATGACATCTGAATACGTTCTTAGAAAAAATAGAAAAAAAGGTGGAAAATCAACAAGAGGACCACCTGGTATAGGATTTAATCTAACAGAAAATGGCGATTATGATATCGCAGGACACAAATTAGTTAATGTAAAACAACCAGAAAATCCTGGTGATGCTGTTAATTTACAATATTTAGCGTCAGCGAACGATAATATGATTAAAAAAGATGATTCAGAAACCGTTGTAAAAATCGTTAGGCAATCGTTAAATTCGGTGAATATAATCGCTACAAAAAGATATATTGATATTGGTAATAGAAGAATAGTTAAAACTGCTGATGCAATTGATAAGTATGATGTTGTCAATAAAGGACAACTAGATATTTACGGAGAAAGGTTAATTAATTTGGAAACTGAATTCATGAAAAAAACTCATTATTCATTTTTACAATTTGTAGGAAAAATTAATTTTGAAAAGGGGGTTCATGATAAAAAGATTATAACTATGCTTAAGTTTACTTTTGATGGAGAATATTATCTTAGTGTACCGATAAATATGGAAGTTATAAAATTCCGTTCAACAGCTGATCTGACAGATTTAGAAATTACTAATAACGAAATGAAAAAATTTGATCTTTCGAAGCCCTTTTCTATTAAAGAAACTGATTTATTGCTTTTTAGGATAAAAAAAGAAAAGGTAAACACAGATGAAAATCTAGGTGGTTATAACCATAATAAACCTTATCGATTAAAAACTCCAATCAGATTTTATATGTTAGTCAAGTTTTCTTTATAATTATCAGTCTTTGACCTTCATGCGCATTGCGCGTTAAAATAAAAATGGTATCTCTACTGTTTGTTGTACAGTAAATGGATTATTGTAAAATATGCAAAACCAAAACTAAATCCACTGGAGAACCAGAATTTATTGTAAAATATAAACGCTGGAGAAGAATATCAACTTGCAAAATTTGTCAATCAGTAAAAAATAATATTTCTAAATCACCTAAAGATATTTTAATTTTTGAATTATTTAAACCCGCTAGGAAAAAATACCCAACACGTCGCTTTCAATACAGAGGTATTGATGATACTTGGCAAATAGATATTTATGTTTTTTATAGACCAAAAGGAAAAGCAGAAGATCCAAGCTATTCTTTAAGAACAAAGACAGAGTCGAAGACGAAGTCGAATGATTTTAATAAATTTAAAAAGATCAATAATGGTTTTATCTATATTCTAGTTGCTGAAGACACCTTTTCTAAATATGTATGGGCAGAACCTTTAAAAACTAAATCAGGATTAGAAGTAGCTAATGCGTTTTTAAAAATCGTACAACAAGCGATTAAAGATAAACACAATCCACCGAAAAATTTACATGCTGATAGAGGAAAACAGTTTTACAATAAAGATATGAGGATCGTTTTAAATAAATACAATATCAATCTTTATAGTACTGGAACAAAAAATAAAGCTTTCTTTGTTGAGAGGTTCAACCGTACTTTAGGAAATAAATTTAAGCCAATATTGTATGACAGTTTTAATTGGCTTTCGTTACTTCCAAAAATTATAAAATCTTATAACAATTGTTATCATTCTACGATTAAAATGAAACCAAAAGATGTTAATAAAGAAAATGAAAGGCAGTTATTAGAAACCGTATATATGATTACATTAACAAATAAAAAACCAAAATTTGAAGTTGGTGATAGAATTAGATTGTCTAATATGGTTGATATTTTTCGTAACAAATTAAAAACGAACTGGACTGAAGAAATATTCACAGTTTTAGAAAAACGCGTATATAATGTTTGGATTTATTTTGTTTCTGATCTTAARGGCGAAAAAATTAAAGAGGGRATATACGAAGKAGAAATGCAARTAACATTATTATAAGAATTATTGAAATAATACAAATAAAAATAAATATAATTTTTTTCTTTTCTTTTTTTAATTCCACAATCTTTAAGTTTGCCTTGATTAATAAATTCGCTGTGTTCATGGACGTATTCATTTATTAACTAGAGAAAGAGTATTTGCTAATCGTCTTTTTGCACGTTCTTTATTGTTATACCTAATAACAGGATTTTTGTTCAGTAATGCGTTTATTTTTTCTTCATCATAAATATTTACCTCTTTTAATTCTTGTTCCAACACATTAATTTTATTATCTTTGTACTCAATTTCTTCATCCATTTTTTCTATTGTTTCAACCGCAGCATTTCCTAATTCTTTTAAAATTCTGTTTTCCATATACAGTTGATTAGACGCTTTAACTTTATTACCAACAGATAAACTATTAAACTCAATACAGTCTTTTTTTATTCTATTTTGAATAATTTTTATTTGATTTTTATCTGCAACATCAATTAGTGCCATTATTTATTAGATAGGGAATTCGCCTATGACTCATGAGTTGACAAAGTCAAGGAATTCATAGTCTTATTAAAAATTTTATCAAATTCTTCTTCGCCTTCGCCTCGCCTGTCTTCATATTTTATACTCCCAGCGGTATGCTGGGCATTAGTCCCTTTCAGGGACGCTTTGTAATCTGATTGAGATGTGTTTGCTTTGTGTTTAGATTTAATTTGTTTTCGTTTTTTGTTATATTGTTCTATGTTGTTTGATTTTGTGTTATGTTTAATTATTGTTTCACCAGTGAGAAATTTTATTTGATTCCTAATTGTGTTTTCACCAATTTTATTTTGTTTAGCAAACTCTTTTAAGGTAATATTTTTAGAAGTAGGATCTCCTTTTTGTGCTAAAAAATTTAATGCTAATTGTCTTGATCGCATTTTATTTAAATTCTTAACTGATGGAATACTGGATTCTGTTAACGTATAATCTTTTTTAATTATTATATTTATCTTTTGTTTAGCTGACTGTTCCCTTTTGGTATTATGAGCCATTTATTATGAAATAATATCTTTCTAATAAATGGGGGATAAAGATTGTCAGATTGATCATGAACAAACATCTCCGAATAATGAGTCGTTATTAAGAAAATGTTCCATTTGTCAAACCATAAAATCTCATTCAAATTTTGTTAAAAGTAAAAATCAGAAATGTGGAATAGGATACGTGTGTTATGATTGTAAGAAAAGACAAAATGATAAATTTACTTGTGATATATGTTTTATGGATGTTCCGATACGATATAAAAAAAGACATTTCAAAAAAATATGGCATGAAAAATTAGAAAAATATATTAACGAGTTAAAAGGATAAACTCATTCATAAATTTTTTTGAATAATTTTTTATCTAATAAATGGAGCTCTCGAAAGATGAGCTTCTTAAAATGACTCTTGAGGAACTTATAAAACTTACTAAAGGTGATTTAAAAAAGCGGGTGACATAATTGAACAAATTAATAAAGACAGTTCGTCTTCGAGTTCGACGAAGTCTCACGATGAATCAAAGATTCAGAGTTCAGATAAGAGTCCATCTTTGACACATGAGTCGTCCTCGATGGATAAATATTTTTTAACACCACAATCAAATAATGAGATTGTGCTAAATAAACTAAATTTAAAAAAATTAAAAACCATTGCAAAAAGACTGGGGTTAAGAAACTATTCACAGTACAACTCGAAGACTAAATCAGACCTCATAAAATTAATTCTAAAAGAAGAGCTCATCAATGCAGGCGATTGGTTTAATCAATTAAATAGACTCAATATTAAAAAATTAAAATCAATTGCTGAAAAACTAGGTCTAAAGATAAAGCAAAATAGTAAAAAGACAGATCTAGTGAATCAAATTTCAGATAATGCCCTCATGAGCGAAGCGAATTTAAATACTTTTCTTAAAGA